CAGGTCATCACACCGTTCGCCTCACAAGTCTTCACGGAAGTCCCCAGACAGGTCTCCAATCGTCACCCTGCACAGCTGTAGAAGTATACAGGTCTCCACCTCAGTCACCATCGGATCAACCTCTTATTTGCGATCCCGTTACAGAAGATGATGGAGGCATCATATTCTCCGACGCAGAAATACGCTACTGGATAATTAACAACCTGGTCCTAGCTTCACCTTCCAAGAACGGTAACCCCGCCCACACTTATCTCATGAGGGAGGACGATGCAGACACCATCACCCTACCTCCGATCGACCCGATAGCAACAGTCTCTCAGAATCTGGACACAGCCTTCCATAAAGCCACTAAAGCCCAGGCGCCGCACTTACCACAGTTCAACGCCAAAAAGTTCTCAACCAATAATATGGACCCATTTTTCAAGGCTCAAGATATCGACGATAACTTCAAAGTAATCAACGATGCCAAGAATAAGACCTACAAGATAGACGACCGCAAGCTGGTGCAGATCGAAACCATGACAAGGAGAATGTTCTTTGGCCTTAACAGATCAAGAACGGTTAATGAAACTCTCATCACCAGATTTCGTGATTCTACATCAGAAGATGACAGAATGATTTACTCCTCCTTATGCAGAAGAAGGACCAGCAGTTCTTAACGGATCATCTTACATCAGTCTCCGCAGCGCTAACTCTGGCTCATCGTCAAGGTCTCCTCGCTTCCTGTAGTTGGGGTGAACAGTTTACATCTCCACTCTACACAGCCCCGTGGTCTTCGCCATCTATCTTCGATGGAACAATAGATAAAGTCTCTAAAGAAGTCACCAAGGATTCAAGGGAAGTCCTTATGATAAAGTCGATGGACACGCTAGCCAGCTTCATCAGGCAAACATCACAGAGATATTCAGGAAGATCTAAGTTTACTGGCTTACAGAAGGCACGGGACAGGAAGATGGCCACCTCAAGGGGAAAAGATTCTTCTCGTCGCCCATATGGCAACTACAGAGGAGGATCGGGAAGAGGCAGGGCACCCAGAGGTTCCCGCAACTATAAACGATGAAAGACGGGTTCGGAACGACTGGAGCCTTCCACCCCCAGCCGTTCCAGTACAACCATCACAAGTGGGTGGACGCCTTCAACTGCACTGGGAGAACTGGGGAATTCTACAAGACCCTTATGTCTCCAACATCCAACATCACGGATATCGAATCCAACTACAGGACCACGCCTCCGCTTACAGTCAACCCTCACAAGTTCGACTTTTAGGCGCAACAACTACTAAAGTTAAGAGAAGCTGTTGCATCGCTACTAACCAAGCAGGCCATAGAAGTACTAGATCAAGTAAACATCGAACCAGGCTTCTACTCCCCAGTTTTCCTAGTGCCCAAGAAAAACTCCAGGGAAAAGTTCAGACTCATCTACAACATGAGCACGTTCAACAGAGATTATCTACGCAAACCGCCAACATTTCGCATGATACATCTACCTCAACTTCGGCACCTAATTCATCCCATGGACTACATGGCCAGTATAGACCTGCAGGATGCGTATCTACATATCCCCATACATCCTGAATCCAGGAAATACCTACGGTTTACACTAGACGGGCTGCATTATCAATGGAGAGTACTCCCATTTGGAATATCATCATCCCCTGGTTATTCACAAGAGTAACGAAACCCATCGTCACTTACCTGCATCTGATGATTCACACCGACAACTCAACAGTGGCGTTTTATGTAAACAAACAAGGCTCAACGAGATCATTGAACCTATTGACTCTATGCTTTCAACTGTTCGATCTAATCGACGATCTCAACATACATGTCAGAGCATGCCACATTCCGGGAGCCAAGAATGTACTAGCAGACGCACTCTCTCGGCCACATCTACCGTCACCGACAGAATGGATGCTCCATACAGAAATCTTTGCACAGATTATCAAGGAAATAGGAGCTCCGCTAGTAGACCTATTCGCCACTTTCGCTTCAACAATCAGCTAACAACATTCATTATCACCAGTCCCGGATCCACAGGCGTAGCAACGGACACACTAAGCATATCCTGGGAAGGCCTCAAGCGGCGTGCAGCGTTTTCGCCCGCCAGCTTAATTCCACAGGTGTTACCGAAAATCAGTCAAACACAGAGCCTCCAACTGATTTTTGTCAGCCCTACTGGCAGCGAGCGTGGTTTCCCATTCTAATTCAAGAAATCGGACAACCAACACTAGAGCTACCAAAGCGCTTCGAATCTACTAATACATCCTCACACCAAAAGCGCGAAACCCAGAAGCATTCCAACCTCGCGTATGGACTGTATTAAAGTGTGTCTAAACAAGAGAGGTTATTCAGCCAGAGCGCGAAAGCAGTCAGCTTGCTTTACCCAATTTCTGGCGCAACTTGTATGGCGACAAGTGGCACAGTTTTTGAAACATACGCTGCTAAAAGGGATTTACAGCGAGAAATGCTACACATCCACAAGTGGCTGACTATCTGTGTTACCTACGACAAAATAAACATTTAAAAGGCTCGACATTGTCAACTTATCTCGCAGCTTTAAGTTCTGTGATAACTATGAGAACTGGTGTCAAGCTAACCAAGACGCCAGAGTTACTGGCCTTACTACGTGCATTCGATTGGAGGATCAGAAACAGAGATTTTAGCTCCAGCATGGGATCTAAATATAGTGCTCCAACACCTCACAAGTGAGGCCTATGAACCACTGGAATCAACAACCTTTGAATTTCTGTCACAGAAAACTTTGTTCCTGTTATCCCTAGCAACGGCAGCCAGGATGTCAGAAATTCACGCACTAGATTATGAGAGAATATGTTTTGACGACAATCAAAACATAGTGCATATGGGACTGCGATGGGATTTTATCGCCAAGAATCAATTGCCAGGTCAACCAGACAGATTATTCCATGTTCCTGCACTCTCCTCAATTCTAGGACCTCAAGATACGCTTGACCTATCTCTATGTCCAGTCAGAGCACTCAAAATCTATCTACAACGATCCAAAACGAGGCGACGACAACTCAAGCGGTTATTCATCCCTCTATCGACAGCGACTCAGACCGAGGTCTCTCGTACCACCATATCGATATGGATCAGAACTGTCATACTTCGTGCCTACAAGGCTGCAGGACTCGACCCTCCAAGAGCATCTAATCCCCATGAAATCAGAGCACTGGCTTCCACACTCGCTCTACACGGAAATTGCTCGTTGAATACCATTATGGAGGGCTGCTTTTGGAAATCCGACATGGTGTTTGCTAACCACTATCTGAGAGATATCACCACCGAGGACGTCTGAGGTATTCACCATTTCGGTCCCATGGTCCTCGCACAGCAGTTGACAGTCCCTCGTAGACGATGATTAGTCTCACGAGATTATTATTATGTATATATCATACCAGTTTCATCTAGCTTATAACTCTTACGGAGTTTTGTGCTATTATATACAAATCTTAAGTCTATAGTAGTCTTAAGCCCAGTACTGATGTTATATGTACATTGGGTCGCTTCTCCACTTTGGAGTCGCTTTATACCATTATTACTATTATCATAGTATCTATATATTGTAGTACCCCCATCCATGGCAACTGGTAGAACTTATGTTTTATAGCAGCAGGAATTAGCTTAATTACAGTGCCATTAGGAAGTTCCCGTAGGGGGTTATTACTTATACAGAAATCACTAATTATTTAAATTCAAAGTATTCTGTTTTCCCACCTCCGTTTCCGTAGGATTCTACAAGCAAAAGAGCATGAGTCAGGATAAGGAAAAATATGTAATTTTCTGATTAAAATTGACATTTTATACTTATCCTGACTCATGAGGTAAGCCCTCCCATCCTCCCCACATAACACTTTGGATTTCCCAGTAAATTCAAGTGTTGGGCTCGATATATCAGGAGAGAGTGAAGCATGAGGGAAGAGGTGGTACTCTTGGTGAGTACTAATTAGTGATTTTACATTGAAGGGAGCTTCAATTAGGGAGATACAAGTGTTCCACTATGTTCGCAAGAAGAAGAAGACAAGCAAAAGAGCATGAGTCAGGATAAGTATAAAATATCAATTTTAATCAGAAAATTTCATTTTTCTGCAGATATTTGTTAAGTTTTATTCAAGTGATTTGTGTCCTGTCAATGTCATCCTAATAACATAACCTGTACAAAACTTTGTCTATTGCATAACGGTAAATGGCTTTACTATTAGCCAATGACACTTGGTCAATGTGTTCTTTAGGGTATGACTGAAACGTTTCCACAAAGTATATTTACCATTTTTACTGACATTTCTAGTTCTGCAGATATTTCTTATGATTAATGTACTACAATATTATTTCAAAGCATATCCATGAAAATTGGTGAAAGATCACAAAGACCAACTTCCAAAGAGAGCAAATGACAATTTTGTTTTGTTATGTTGAATTACACCAAGGAATATCATATTTCAGAATGTTGCAACTGATATTCACTCTCAAGGTTAAGTGCTCTAAAATGTTTTGTGTTTACAATAACTCAGAAATTTTAGTAGGATGAAATTATGTAAGTACCCTCGTCATTGTGGTAGACATTCAAGGCAAGGGTCACTGGACTGCTCATTCTTGAGATAATTTTTGTCTACTGAACAAACTCCTGAGTTTATGTGACATGTTTGCAAACGTTGACACTTATATTTTCAGCTAGAAATAATCAAGCCTGAAATTGAGGGTCAAGGTCATTAAACTCAATGATGAATAACCTGTGTAATATTTTCACTTTATGTCTTTCCTTGGACACAGGCTTTCTTAATTAAACAAGAACTGATATTATGGAACAAGGAGCATATATATGGAACCGTGCATTAAAGTACAAAAACAATTGTACAATTTGACCTTTTCTGCCATGCAATGTTGCTGACATTATCTTGGGTTATGACAGATAATAAATTCTTGTTAAACTTGGCCTGAATGATGATGGTTCTTTTGTTACAATGCATTCTTTTCTTTTTTCAGGTGTGGACTAAAAAGTTGATGGGTATGGAAAATGAAGGTAAACTAAAGTTGACCTCTTTAGACCAAATATATATGAATTACACCACATATAGTCAAGATGGTAGGTTTTTACCTTTTCAGTTTTTCTACATAAGAAGTAATGGGAATGACAGTCTGATGACTACCGCCCTGGCAGAGTAAAAATATGGATGAATAATGGCGGCCTAGTTGATCGCATAAGAGGACGAATACACTCCTAGGAGGACGAATACACAGTCTATACACTCATGGGGATGCTTGGGAAAAGGAGAAACTGAAAGAAGTAGTCATAAAATCCTTCCTAAATTTCAAAAAATTTCCAAGCCTTTGAAATATCATGTTTCCAATTTTGGAAATTTTTGGAAATCACCTTTTTTTTCCTTGTGAATAAGACGTACACGGAGAGAGCATGGTTGATAAACGACGACGACGTGCACAAAATCAATCTGGGACTTGTCTGCAGGACTTTTTGCGGGCTTATCACAAAACGTTTAAAGGAGAGTCGATGCTGTTCGTCATAGACGACTGTAGCACCAACAAAGAAATCTTCAAAAAACATGAAACACAGCGTGTGGGTTTTAATGCAAAAATTCAACTCCGTGCTGAAAGACCTGCCTGAACAGATTTTCACTGCAAGGACAGGGATTCGTTCGAGCAATTCTTGTGGGAAAACGACGTGATTCCCACCAAACAGGAGCACGACCTCGTGAAAAAACTGCTGGCCGTGGCATATGCAGTAGCTGCTAGCAAAATTCAGAAATTTAGAATACTACTAGCAGAAATTTAGCAAACTACTGGCAGGCTTTATAAAAATCGTTTATTTCATCTGACATTCCTATCAATCTGTCTCGGCTGCGCAGGATTTTGTTATTTTAGATTAAAAAAAAGATTGATGCATTATAAGATGAAGAGCGACCTACTAAAACAAATGTGCGGTGAAGATGGCTGCAATAACAAGCGAGAAAGGTTGGCGTCACTCATGGTCGGCGGCAAAGGCAAGCAATACTTGGGCGGCGATAATAGTGTCACCGCCGAGAAAATTTACAAGATGCCAGCCGAAGAAGTTAACAAACTGTACGCAAGATACAAATCCAGACTCAGCACCGAAATGATGAAAACCATAGGGTCGGCCATGACGCAGATCTACACCGGCATCGCTTCAAATCTTCTTCCCATTTCGCCAGACCGTCGGTCGTACGTGTGCGAAGACCTCGACAAGGATTCATTCGTAGGCCACGCCTTGAGCGCCATCAGCTGCGAGCTGTACCACCTGTATGGCATGTTCCTGGTTCCGCTGACAGTGATGATCATCATGGTAAAACATTGCCTATTTAAGATTTAAATAATAACTATACTAAGAAGAATCTTTTCCCAAAAATGAAATTTATTTATTAAATGACATTATTTCTGTGAAACTTTGTGCGGACTGTTCATTACATGAAGGTAATTGCTGTGTCTATGCTGCCGCTCGAACCTTGGAGGAACTTCACACGGTTTCCCAAGAAAAATCATTTAATACTAAGAACAATACACCAAAGAAAAACAGTTTCAAGTAAAACTGACGGAAACTAGAAAATACATTTTCTGGATAGAGTTGTGCCTGAAGTTAAGATCATCAGGGAATCCCATGTCTAAATGACAAAAGTCAATTTGGAGAAACTTAAAATCACAGTATAAGACAACCAAAGAAAAGATACTTCTCCAAATTGTTGATTCCCTAAAGGTGAAAATAAAGGTTTGGACTGAAAGAAAGAAGAAATGGGAAAAGACAAATAAATTCATAAAACACAACAACTCCTTTGGGCAAACTAACTTTATTTAGGCAAATAGCTGAACAAACAATAACATGTGAATAATAGGCATTACATAAGTCTTACGCACAGTTGAACATGGGGACTTTCATAGGCCTTTAGCATGAAAAGTTTGAATGTTAGCTATGGAATTATATGGGTGATGGAGGGAGGGGAAAACTTATTTTACACATGAACAATGAAAGCGTCCGCACTGGACTAAACTGATTGCACACTAACTGCAGAAACAAAGGCAGGAGGCACAGGGGCTGAGCACATGTATGGTAGCTATGGCAACGTAGGGAATGCTATGAGCTGATTGGATGGGGCAATAAGACTATCCCCCTAGGGTAAATTGCAAGTTCCTGCATAGTGCCTAAGGGCATGTAGATACTTTAGGCAGGGGCTGTAGATGCTAAAATTAGCTCACCCACAGGAGTTGTGGTTTTAAAGAAGGCTGAGACAGCCTAACCAAAATAAACTTTTTAGAAATAATGAAAAACACTTCTACGGGCAACCTAAAGCAAACGGTGATGGTGAGCATGATAAATGGCCTCCCATGGATGCCAATGAAAGGCTCAGGAAAAAGTTGTGGTCTGTACCTGGCGACTGTAACCTTGAGGCAACATGGGTCCGTGATTATGACCATGCAATGCATCAGTATTTCCGCTGACATAATTATTTATCGGACACTGTGTCGGGCGACCTAAAATTTTACTGGTCATGAATGAAATTTGCCAGCCATATCCTATTATCATGCCGTAAGAACTTACTAACAAATTCGAAATAAAGACGTAAACATACCTTCAAAGTTTCCTCTTTTTGTTTCTGAATTGAGTTCTGGCCCCCCTGAATGTGTTTCTCTGTGGCATGCAAGTTTAGAAGCATCAAGTTTGAAAGGCAATGTTGTGACAGATGATTCCTCCTCGCGGTATGAATGATATTTTGGAAGCTGAATCCCCTCTCCGCAGGGACACCGCTGACTGGAATTGTCTGTGCTATACGTGCGAGAATTGAAAAAACCTGGGTACACATTGCAAAATCAGTAATAATTGCCCTTCAGTTCTGCTCCATCGAAGTTGTGCCGAGACTCGCGACTGTAGTTTTGAAATGGCCAAAGTCTTTTTTTGAGCGATCGATAGATGCTCTGACATCACCATCGTCTTGTCCAATCACAGGGCTAAACTGTTCTAATGATAGATCTTGGGATTCCCGAGCGTATTCAGTCAAGTCGTCTTGTGAATCGGGGGTAGCGAACTGGGTTCAAAACTTGCTCCAGACAGGTCAGTACGTGCATGGAATCTTCTGGAAATCTTTTGTGCAATGAATCACAAAGTTCATCAATAAAACCACTGCGGATGTTGCGAAATGCTCGAATGGAAGCAGCGTCTGAATAAGTCAATTTAAGATCTCTGAACTGTTCTTGTTGTAGATTTTCAACCAAATACTGCTCGTTTTCACCAGGTGAATCTTTCAGTTGTTGAAGGGCACGACGTGTAGAGTTCACAATTGGCATTATCATACCTAGATTCAAAATTGTCTCTTTGAAAAATCGGGGCGGTGGGGCAGCCTAGTGGTTAAGGTGGTGGCTTGTCACGCCGAAGACCCGGGTTCGAATCCCCACATGGGTACAATGTGTGAAGCCAATTTCTGGTGTCCCCCGCCGTGATGTTGCTTGAATATTGCTAAAAGCGGCGTAAAACCAAACTCAGTCAGTCTTTGAAAATTTTTGATAAGCTTGTCCATATGATATAAGACGTCAAAGAGCATGTACGTTGTAGCAACGAATGAGTAGGCCAACACTTCAATCACTTTCTAAGTAATACAATCAGCCGTTCCTGTATGAACAGTGAAATTTCCAAGAAATACAGTTTCAACTTTCCACCATTTTCAATCCGTAAAAATATCACAAGTTTTTTCTCAACAGTCACGTTGACAGACTCATCAATTATCACGCCAACAAAGTCACTCTTTGCAATTTTCTGTTTTAAATCTGCAACTGTACTTTTCACAAGCTGTTCTTCCATCTCCTAGACTGAATCTGAATGACTATACACCTCCCCACTCAAACTTGAACACCCGTTACTCTTTGTAAACTCAATAATGCAGACAATTTGGAAGTTGCAATATTCACTCTTGGCATAAACAACACAGTTCTCATCATTGCAGTCAGTTTCTCATCCTCTTTCTTGTTTGCCATTTTTAAATGAGTGGCCATAACATTGTGCTGACAAGTTGTAAATATAGCGTGTTGATGAGCTCACGATGTTCTCTCAGAGCTGATTTTTTCAAGTTGATTTTCCAGCAAGTTCACAAATTCTGCAATGCATCAAGGTATTTTTCTCATCAAAAGGAAGCCATCAGAATTCTGTAAGCCCGTTGTCATTAAATTTGTGAAGTTTGCTTGGTCCAGATTTTGATTGTTTCTCGCATGTATTCGAGTCTTTGCTATGAAAATCCGATTTTTCCTGAGATGACCCGAGTGACTGTCGCCCTGCACTCTGAGTGTCTTCATCTGTTGTTTTAGATACTAGTAATGATTCATCATCATCATGTTTTCTTTTAGAAGCACCCCCCTGTGGATTACTTCCCGAAGAAATTTGAAAGCATCGTCTGCCTTTGAGCCATTTTGACATGTGGTTAGACAATCGGAAAAACTTTGGCTTTCTCCTGTTTATTACGTTCTAAGCTATAATCCGAGATAATAATAATTGAACTGAAAATGCCGAATGACTGATTACACTGATCAATCACAAGATGCCGGATCGACTGTTATTAAAGTTATTTTTAGCCAAGTCTGTCATTTCGCTTACCCATGATTTTTATCCCCCCGTAACTCGTTTTGCGGAGAGTATTAAAATGGACTCTGTCTGTCCGTGTGTCCGTGCACATTTATCTTTTCTGGAGCAGAACTTTAAAACCGTTCACTATTTCTTCACCAAACTTGGCACATAGATTGGTCTAGTGGTGTACTGGTGCCTTTTGGTAGTTTTGGAATTCTGAATAAATATTTTTGGCCGTTTCCATGGCAACAAGTTTGACTTAGACTGAAACTGGTGGTAGTGCACCTTTCTGGAGCAGAGCTTTTAAAACCTTTCAATACTCTCCTTCTACTTTTCTATATACACATCAAAACATTTGACATAATCATAACTCGTAGACATATTCATGAAGAGTATTTTGCCATTGCGGGGGATATTGATGACTTTGTCTTCTTGTTTTTATTTCA